CATCCGAAAAGGCAACAACAAAAAGTCTACAATGCACACGCATGCGGCCAGCCGGCCGCGCGATGGTACTCGTACGAGGAGCCATGGAGTAGCTCCCTGGTCCAGGACCAGGTACCGAGCATCTTACGTAGAAACATACGTAGCTACGTAGACAACGTGTCTGAATAGCGGTGTCGTTAGGTAGCGCCATGTGAACACAATAATAGAAAAGCTGACAGGATCGCTTTTCTAAATGTACATTGTGCGGGTGATTCTTATACGGTGTAGGCCCTGGCGGATAATGCTCGAAAAGGTGGCAGATTCTGCTCGAAAAGCAGTGAACTTGGCAGAACCATACAAACCTTATGGCGTGCAATTCCTCGAATTCTGCTCCATTTCTTTATCCACATACCAAACATGCATGAAACCTACCAGAAAAAGTACCGAATTCTGCCAATTTTTCTGCCGGCATTATCCGCCAAGGCCTAATACAGTATACCGGGATTTAGTTTCCGGCCCAAGGGGGGTCCCCGTCGCGTCGGTTTCCGAGGAAGCCGTAACTTTTTTCGCTCCAAACTATTATTCCGGGGTCCATCTACTCACAAAAAGTCGTTTTGCACACCTTTTTGCCCATCCCTGTACAACTGAGTCCAGCTATGTCCGCGCAGAGTTAAGTGGACCCTTAACGGGTTCTACCGAGAGTACATAACCCCCCGGAGTGTGCAACGCCGATCCAGCTCTGCATTGGGTCTTGGTCGAGCGGAATCGGATCTTCTGATGTCATGCGTACACTCCACACAAGCGCAAGGCCGGTCTCGAGGCAGGGTACCATTGTTTTTGATCCAAGAGTACCCGCGACTCCCCGGGTTCCCCTCAGATGTGTACGGTATATATATATACTGAACCGAAGGCATCTCTGTTCGCGCACCTGCAATGGCCCAGTCTGGCATGGCGGCGACACATCCAGTGCCTCCGGGAGCTCCATCACCTGGTCCACCACCAGACCACTGCCCTTATGGAGCTGGGCTATAGTCTCTCCACCAGCGCGCGGCGCCCTCTCCAACTTGTACCGCCTGTCAGAGCGAACAGCTACTCGCGTGCCACCTTCCTCTTTGTTACCGCTGCCACCTGGAATTCTCTCCCCACTGACATTAAAACCACCCAAAATAGTCATTGCTTTGTGTCTCGTGTCCGTACTATCTTTGCCAACACCCGCTTCGAACCCGCTGGTTTCATTCCTTCCAGAGTTTCCATAACATAGTAAAGAATGGTATGGCTGATTTCTGCAGTATGCATTTGTTATAACCCTAGTAGTAGTAGTAGTAGAATTTATTATTTTGATAGGGAAGGCCCTACAGACGTTGCCGTCTTGTTACACGGAACCCTAAGTGCTCTTTACAGAGCGAAACAAAAACGGATAGATGCTCAACCTGACGACACGAGACAGGCAGAGCCCTTCCTCTTCTCAATCTATATGACTGTTATAGTTTTGCAGATATATTCCCAGTAAGCCATGAACGGAGACCCCCTCGACTTAGGCCTCGGCCTTTGGGGAATCCATAAATAAAAATTAATAATTAATTAATTATGACGCAAAGATCCGATTCCGCTCGACCAAGCTTGATGCACTCACTGATTCCGCCTTCCGCAGAGTACCCCCAGATGGCTCACCAGACGTTAACACAATGGCAACTAGCTTCTCTATTCTATGCAAAAGAGTTCTGAACGAAAAGTCGCGTGTGAAACAAATTACCATCAGTGCTAGGGCTAAGCCTAAACCACAGCCTTGGGTAAGCGATCAACTCCGAAGGTTGTTAGAAAGGCGCAAGCACCTCCACGCGAAGGTTTTGAAACATCCCGGAAATGAATCTGTGAAACAACAGTACAGGGCAACAAGGAGGGAAGGCACACTGTTAAATAGAAAGCTGAGACGAGAGTATTACAACAGGGAGTTTCGAGATGTGAAGAATAAGCCAAGGCAACAGTGGGCGCTTCTAAACTCGCTCACAGGGCGCAACTTTGTCAGTGAACAACCAAAAGCTACGTTAGGCGATCTGAGTGCCACATTTGCTTCTATTGTCACTGATCCTAATCCTTGCCCACCCTTGAGCAACCTAATACCTGACATCTCGACAACAGCTGACGCAGACGCCCCATCTTTTAAAGAATTTCGTGCCGTTTCAGCTCTGGAGATAAGCGACCTGTTGAAGCATTTGAACTGTGCCAAGGCAGCTGGATCGGATGACATTCCTCCTCTGCTCCTACGCCTCTGTGAGCCTGCCGCTGCAGGTCCCATAGCGCAGATAATTAACGAGTCATTGAGTACTGGAATGGTGCCAGACGTGTACAAATTGGCTACAGTGTGTCCTGTCCACAAGTCAGGGGACAAATCTGAAGCGTCGAATTACCGCCCTGTTTCACTTTTGCCGATTGTTTCTAAGATCCTTGAGAAGGTAGTACATCGGCAAATGATTAGATTCCTTCAAGATCACGCTGAGCTTCGTATTCTCCCAGACGAGCAATTCGCCTACCGCAGAGGGCACTCCTGTGAGGATGCGTTAACTCTCGCAGTAAACCGCTGGATGATGAGTGTGGACAAGGGCGAGTATTGCGGGGTTGTACTCGTGGACATGAGCAAGGCCTTCGATCGGGTACGCCATGAACTACTACTTAACGAGCTTCAAACTATTGGCATAAGCGGAGTAGCACTACAGTGGTTCTCCAGCTATCTCCAGGGTCGACGACAACAGGTGAAAATTGGAAATACCAGAGGAGACGAGACACATTGTACACGAGGCGTTCCGCAAGGGTCGGTGCTAGGGCCTCTGTTATTCTCTTTGTACGTGCGACATGTCCCTGGAGTACTTCGCCACGCAGAGTCCCAACAGTATGCTGACGATATCGCCTTTTATATACACTGTCAGTCTACTGGAGAACTTCAGCACAAGTTGACAAGTGAGTTGAACAGACTAAATACGTACCTTGGAAGCATTGGTCTCATCTTGAATGCCCAGAAAACGAAGTTCATGGTGCTTCGGAAGAAGGCTCTGCCTCTTCCGCCGGATCTTACCATTGCATGCGGTGGTGTCGATATTCGACCTTCTGCCACAGCGCGTTATCTTGGCCTCATTATTGACCAACACCTCACCTTTGAGGATCAAGTCAACCATGTATGTACATCTGTTTATAAGAAGATAGGAGCATTCCGCCGCTGCCGCCGTACAGTAGACCACACAACTAAGCGAATATTTTATTTATCCCTCATCCAATCCACTATTGAATACGCCAGCAACTCGTATGCTCACTGTCTTACACCATCTTTATACTCTCGCCTTGTTACTTTAAGTCATATCAGCATGAAACAGGTTTTTGGTCTCCCTCGCCGTACCCCGACTGTCTTTGTTTTGCGGCACGCTAAGTTATACTCCCTCGAATCTCGTCTCAACTTGAGGCTTTTTATTTTTGTTTTCCGCTGTATTCATCAGCTTACAAGTCCTCTTCTTTCCTCAATGTTCACCCTCCAGTCAGCTGCTACTTGCACCGAGAGGCGCACTAGAGGGCAATCATTCTCTTCACTTTCTTTGCCCGCTGCTACCACTAGATATGGCATGTTCTCCATTTCTTTCCTTGGCGCTGATAGGTGGAATTCTCTGCCTGTCTCGTGTCGTCAGGTTGAGCATCTATCCGTTTTTGTTTCGCTCTGTAAAGAGCACTTAGGGTTCCCTGTAACAAGACGGCAACGTCTGTAGGGCCTTCCCTATCAAAATAATAAATTCTACTACTACTACTACTACTACTACTACCAAGACCCTATGCAGAGCTGGATCAGACGTTAACGCGCGTTGCACACTCTGGGGGCTTTATCAGGGGCGTCGGAACCGGTGCGGCAGGTGCGGCCAAAGCCACGCCAATAATTTTCGATTTTTTATTTTTATTTTATTTTTTTACATTTCAACCTTGTTGGTGCCTTGTCGACTCTTGTACAGGTACCATGTTTTACATCGACAATGCGGTGTATCATCAGCATGTATATTCTTTTTTTTATTATTCTGAAGCGTTAAAATATGGCCTTTTAGGCCCAATATTTTCAAAAGTTTTCCCGGGGGACGACCCCCGGACCCCCCTCTCATACTTTCGCCGCACCAATGTCAAACTCCTTCCGACGCCCCTGTTTATATTATGTACTCTTGGTTCTGCTCTACAGTATAACCATGAGTACATAACCTGGTTATGTACTCATGGTTATACTGTCCAAAGTGTGAACATTCTCGTTTTCACCCACATGTCTTCCTCGACATGTTTGCCAGAGACCGTCGGTGTACGCATTCCGCACAGTTATCGTACACAATAATAATTATAAAAACATGCCGCATCTTAAAGGGTCACTCCGGATATTTTTTCGGTATTAAATGTGTTCTCTTCATGGGGGCCTTATATGGCCCCCATGAACTAGACCCAAAAAGTCGATATATTATATCGACTTTTTGGGTCTAGTTTTCGCAATTCCCCATTCCTTGGAGGCCATATAAGGCCCCCATGAAGAGAACACACTGCCGAAAAATTCCCGGAGTGCCCCTTTAACTTGCGAAAAGCCGGATACGGCATGTTTCTATAATTATTATTGTTATGAAGCCAGGGAGGACCAAGTCTGTCTCCTCCGCGGAGACGCTTCAGCTCTACAGTTTCAGCAGTGTTCCCATTCGAGCTCCGGAAACGCATTGAGCTCCTAATCACACGTAACGTCATCAAAACCCTCCGTGGAGGAGACGAACTTGGCCCTCCCCGGCTTCATATATCGACTTTTTGGGTCTAGTTTTCGCAATTCCCCATTCCTTGGGGGCCATACGAAGCCCCCATGAAGAGAACACACTACCGAAAAAATTCCCGGAGTTCCCCTTTACATGGCACATTTTTGCACTGGCACCCGTGATGGCATACTTCCTTCGAGCTTGCACTTGGAGCGATAGTAAAACAGGGTTTGGAGGGCGATCGCTGCCAGTATAGCAGTGGTGTTTTGCATCAGAAGTAAACCTTCAATTATTAGCCTTCCTCTTCTCTCTCTCTCTCTCTCTCTCTCTCTCTCTCTCTCTCTCGCTCCCGCCGGATATACACAGTCAACGAACAGGTAAGGGTTTACTTGGAGGTTTTGTGCCAGCAAGCCCATTGCATTTGGCGGAGGGTACCCGCAAAAGCACTGGCAAAATGTGGTACTTATGCAAGTAGGTTTCATGCATGTTTGCCTTGTTTGGTATTATGGACACAGAAGGGGAACAGAATTGAGAACTTACCCGTTATGAGCTTGTATGGTTGAGCTAGTTGCACTGCTTTTCAAGTAGAGTCTGCACGTTTTCGAGCATTATCCGCCTAAGCGTACACTGTACATGAGTAGTAGATCGTGTTGTTTGGGGACAGAACATATCGATACGTAGTGTGTAGAAGAGCCGTGTGAGACTGGTGCATCTGTGTGCCGTGTAAACATCGTCACATTGAGTCCGAGGAATGACCATTGCAGAGACGCCTTGTTTCCCATTCCCGTTATTGTATAATTTTATACCGAACGGGGGAATAATATTGTTGTAGGTCCTGCTCAAGGGTTTATGTCAAGCATGTGCTCCACTCGCAATTCAATTTTACTTACAGCAACATGATGTAGCCTTACGCTCTGATGCCTTGAGAGCCTTCATTATCTTTACTCATCTTACCATAATTATTATCATTATAATTATAATATTGAGAGCCTCCATTATCTTTACTCATCTTACCAGACGCAGTCACCATAGGCTGGCGAATTGTGGAGAACAATTCAATATCAGCTGGTTGTGGACAGGTCTGGCTTCATTCCATAGTTGCGCACTTGGCTCTTTAAAGTCCATCAGCCTTGGTACTGTTTCAAAACCTCCTTAAATACCTCGGAATCCCGATTGGGATGTGACTACTAACGGAGCGTTTTGACATTCTTTTGTTCTTCTTAATTTTTGAAAGGCTACAATGATGCTGGCCCAATCTCCAATGGCGCCATGGCTGGTCCTGGTGGTGTGTACAGCTACTCTGTCTGCATTGCCAAAGTCTCATGGTATCGCACCCAGTAAGTACTTTAGTGTGCATGTACCCTTGCATGGCCGTCCAAATACACATCATAAAAATAATAATAGTACAGGTCGCATGTCTCCCAAATAATGGGTTCCACGCATCTGTCAACTGCTTCATCATGAAATAGATTGCAGCAGGAAGAATAGCATACGAAAAAAACCCATATACAGGTTCTAGCACATAACAAGGACATGCCATTTTTCTCCAAATACAAATACACATAATTATTATTATTTCTGCACACAAAAGGCGCAACCGAGGTTTATTACTGAGTATGGCACAACTCAGAGGTTCTTGGACAATGCCATCACCAGGCGTCTTGCTTCCTATAGACCTTATTCGATAACGTGACTTTTGGACTCGCCTCCAGGGATTTGTCATAAGCTAGGGCACGCGTACGAGAAACGAGTGGCAAGAAAGGCCCAGTTTGTACAAAAGAGTAGGAAAATACCGGTATTTATCTACTCCTATGTTCGCACACAGAGTCCACTGTGCACTGAGCGCAGATCTCTTGCCACTCCCTGGTTCCCGGGACCCCGGTTCACGTGATTGTGACGTTTATCGAATAAGGTCTATTGCTGGTATTGATTTGCCGCACCGCTGCTGTCTTTGCACACCATGTCCCGGTTTAGGTTTGTTTTCATGTCGCTGGCCATATCCACTCTATTAGGCTGAAGTTGAAATTGTTCGGTCGGGGTGTGTGTGTGTGTGTGTCTGTCTGTCTGTCTGTTGGTGGGAGCTGGCGATGTGTGTGTGTGTTCTCAGTTCTGAGAAATGGGTATGGGTCTACGTCCATTTT